CAGAAATTGCTATCTTGCAAAGATTCCATGTTATCTCACTAACAAACTTCTCATGTGGCCTTTAATTCTGATAAATCATTTTACAATGGCATATCCACAGAAGCTTTAAATAATTTTATTCCCTACCAGCACATATTTTCCTCACTTTTAAATTATCATCACATTTTGCTCACATTTTGGATTTTTTCTTTTTGAACTAACTCTCACGTGACACACAGAGATAGCTGCCATATTGGATTCTTTCATCAGGGAATAACTTTTCTTTTAGCCTTATCTAATAAAACCTTCCTTGCTCCCCAATTCATCTGCTCAGCTATATAAACATTAAACACACACAAACAAAAAAGAGAATACGGGGGAACAAAAAGAAAAAGAACGGGAAAAGTTCGATAGCCTATCTTCTCGAGCCATTAACCACCCATGAAACTCCACTCATCCCCTCCATTTTAACTTCCAAAAACCAGCTCCAAAAGCCATGAAAATAAGTCCCAAACCCTGCTGAAAAAGTGTTGGAAAACATGCCTAAAACCAGTCCTTCAACAGCTGCGAAACAACCCTGAACTAGCCCCAAAATCACGCCAAACTAGCATGAAAATCAGCTGAAAGTAACCCCAAAATAACTCCATCAAACCAGCTGTGAAAACACACCAAATCCACCTAAAATACAGCTATAAAACACCCCGTCAAACCACCTCGAAGATCGCCAGTTTCACCCTTTAAAACATGCATAGAGATTCCCAAAATTGGAGTAGTTCGAGTTGAAGGTACGGACGAGTTTAAGTCGAGGTTCGAGGTCGTCAGTGAGAGATTCAGTCCGAGTTCTGGTTGTTGACTCGTGTGCCGACTCTTGTATTCCAATGTTATCAACGTTAAAGATCTCAATTTGAGGTTCTTTCCTTAACTTCCAGCATGTTTTGGTGTTTTACTTACCTCTGTTTTGCGCCTATTTGTATGTTTGCTCTATAACTCACTAGTATTCCTATATCTTTGTTTTAGTTTTGTGGTATTTATGCTTTTCTAAATATTTTAGTAGTGAAAGAATAAGGATTGTCTGCTATATCAATGTTTAGGTGTGTCCTAGTTGGTTTTTGCTTACTCAAATGCTCCGATTATCTTTCTTGACTTCGTTTGTTTCTCGGGTCAATTTCATATAGCTGGTTTTTGTTTTATTAGTTTATGAAGTACTTGACATGTGGAAAATTGATATCTAAGGGCAATGTTATCAATTAAGAGGAGTGGTTTTAGAATCAAATGAGCCGTAAATTGATAAGTTGGATAGAAAAGAGAGTTGAATTTGATATGATAAAATAACATGTTGGCCCTTAGCTTAGTACCTAGATTACATCATTTCTTTCACAATTTTCATAATTCACGGCCTTACAGTAATCTCAAAATTTAGAAAGTATAATGAACATTGTTAGAATACTTTAAGCGCGCTTTTAATTAATCTACCGCGATTATGTATACGTTCGCGTGACATAATTGTGATTACCAAAATTAAAACCGAAGTATGCGTTCACGCAATTTTGGGCAAAACAATCTAAATAATAATAAAGTGTTATTAATTGTGTACATATACGCATGAAATGATTTTTAGCACACTAAACAAAACGGATCTACACACACGCAATCCGTTTTAAAGATAAATCCATAACGCCATAATTAAAAGCGGTGAAAGGTAAAACTCACATAGGTTTTAAAAATACGTAATTAAATAAATAATTAAGTCAGGTGTGATTAAAGCGACCGTGCAAAACCACAGAATTCAGGAGTGCCTTACACCTTCTTCAGGGTTAATAAAATTTCTTACCCGATCTTCTGGCTTTCGCAAACTTAAACATAGTTAATTTCCTCGATTTAGAATTTTAAAATAAATCGGTGACTTGGGGCACCATAACAAATATCCCAAGTAGTGACTTTAATTAAATAAATAATCTTATTTCGAATAATGTCATTTTAATTGGAAAAATTCTCTATTTTCAGAAAAAGGTGGTGTGACAGTACATAGGGTCGGTTATACTCATACTACACTATGCACTTCATGTACAGATCCAGGTACTTTCGGACGCGGTGATCTCTAGAGTCTGTTGCTACCAGCTTTACGGAGACTACGAGGTAGCGTCTATGCCATCCGCAGACCTTGAAGTGCTCTTTCATCATTTTTATTATTATTGTTCTACTATTCAGATACAGTCAGACCTCTTTATAACAGCATTCCTATATAACAACCATTCACTATAAAAGCCAAGTTTTCATCAGAACTAATTTTTTAAGTTATATTTTACCTCTCTGTAACAATATTTTACCTATAACAGCAACAACCATATTTATAGAAGAACACTCTTTGTAAAGTTACCCCTATAACAACCATATAAAATCATTAAGATTACTAATAATAATTATAAAAATAAGCCCACAATCTTTTTCATTAAACAAAGTTTCCATCTTGCATAAGATATAAGATTTGAAGATTTCAACATGATATCTTTTCCATTGGACATATTCCAAAAACTATATAGATAGAAAATTTAACTATCAAGCTCTTAGATTATCTTCAAGGGAAAACTATTGGATACTTTTTTGCTGAAAATTTGGACACGAATCTTCGCCAATTTAAGCGTTATATTGCTAGTAAGAGAATAAAATTTATGAAACAATCTACAATTACAAAGTTCTTCCATTAATCTTGAAAGTATTTGTTTTTCTGGTTAGCGTTACTATTTCTGCCTTAGAGTTAAATCTTTATACATTTAGTTATGAATTTATTAATAATGTATTAGATTTCTTCAATATTTAACTAGTGATATATGCATATCTTTTTAGATTTTAAATTTGAATAATTTTTTTATCTTTTATATATAACATTAGAAAAGGAAAAATAATTAATTTTTGAATAATTTTTATCTATAACAACCAAAAAATATTTAAACGTTGAATGTTATTATAGGTGTATAATAGTCATTCACTATAAAAGCCAAAAAATATCGGAACAAACGAGGTTGTTATAGAGAGGGTTGACTGTAGTTGTATTTAGGATTTGGTCTTGTATTTTGATACTCAGTCGTGCTCATGTACTCGTTGACAGCAGATCATTGGGATGGTTGTAGCAGTATTGTTGTTACTTTCTTAGAATTTCATGATATCTTCGTTGTTGAGTTTATTAAGCCTTATTTGATTAAATTCATTGTTCTTATGTGACTGTTGGCTTGCCTAGCAAGTAGTGTTATGCGTCGTCGCGGCTCCGGTGGGAGTTGGGTCTGATAGTTGGATTCAATTTTTCCTTACTTAGGTTTTATGAGTCATAATAGATTTAGAATTCTGCTACCAATTAAGGATGCTAGGGCATTGGTCGGCCCAAAAGACATTACTAGAAACTCAGAGTGACCATAACAGGTCTTGAAAATTGTCTTTGGAATATCTGAATCCCAGATCTTCAGCTGATGATACCCCAATCTCAAGTCAATCTCCGAGAACACTCTAGCACCCTGAAGATGGTCATATAAGTCATTAATGCGTTATAGCGGGTACTTGTTCTTAATTGTAACTTTTTTCAGCTGTCTATAATCAATAACATCCTCATAGTACTATCCTTCTTCTTCACAAATAAAACTGATGCACCTCAAGGCGATACACTAGGTCTGATGAAGCATTTATCAAGTAGCTCCTGCAACTGCTCTTTCAACTCCTTCAACTCTATAAGTGCCATGCAATACAGTAGAATAGAAATGGGTTGAGTGATTGACACCAAGACAATACCAAAATCGATGTCTCTGTCGGGTGGCATGCTGGACAGGTCGGTTAGAAACACATCTAGGACGTCTCTCACTACCGGAACTGACTCAACGATTCACCACAAATATCCCTCGCATAGACCAAGTACGCCAAACATCCCTTCTCAACCATTTGTTGAGCCTTTAAATATGAAATCACCTTACTCGAAACATAATCTAGGGAACCTCTCTACTCAATCCTAGGCAATCCTGGAAATGCCAATATCACGGTCTTAGCGTGATAATCAAGAATAGCATGACATGGCGACAACCAATCCATGCCCAATATCAAGTCAAAATCAACCATGCTAAGCAGTAAAAGATCAACTCTCATCTCACAACCCCCAATAGTCACCTCACACGATCGATATAAATGATCCACAACAATAGAATAACCCACCGGGGTAGATACATGAACATGCATAGCTAAAGAACCACGAGATATATCCAAATAACGAGCAGAGTATGATGACACATATGAATAAGTTGAACCACGATCAAATAGTACTGAAGCATACTTGTGGAACACTGAAACAATATATGCGATCACAATATAGAAAGCAAATACCTATGCCCTGACAGGAAAAGTATAGAAATGGGGCTGACCACTACCTGAACAACCTCCCCATCTAGGGCGACCTCGTGCTCACTGTGCTCCACCTCTAGCTGGTTGTACGAGTGGTGTAGTTTTTGATGCTGAAGTCATAGGGTGAGAGCTCGACTACGGATCCCTACTCAACAGTCTGGAACAATCTCTCTTGAGATGACTCAAGTCCTCGCACTCAAAACAACCTTTCCTCTGACGGAGCTGCTAACCCTGATAATCTGAATAACCGCCTGTGGAACCCTGTGCAGATTTAGTATGGTAAGAACTATGTACCGATAATTCATTGAATGATGACTAAGTTGGGCGTGCACTATAGGAACTGTAGCAAACTAAAGAACTACGAGGAACATGTTGAGTTGTTTGAACGGGTCTAGAAGGATGACCTTTGCTATAGTGTGACTGACCTCCAGATGAGGCACTACTAAAACAACCTAAACCACGAGGCTTCTTGGCCTCCTGCTCCTCATGCTCAAGCCTGTGGACCTGCTTCACGCGCATAGCAATCTTGACCACCTAGTCAAACCTGGCATCTGTCGTAACATTTCGAGCCATACTGTAACATTAACCGTAGTTGAGACCATCAATGAACCTCCTGATCCTCTCCCCCTCAGTGGGAACCAACCATATAGCATGACGTGCCAAATTTGCAAATCTCATCTCGTACTGGGTCACAGTCATACACTCTTGGCAAAGCTGCTCAAACTCCCTACACAACTCCTCTCTGTGAGTCTGTGGGACAAACTTCTCTAAGAATAGAACTGAGAACTCATGCCATGTAAGTCACACTACATTAGTTGGCATGCTCAACTCATGATCTTACCACCATCTGTAGGCTGCCCCTGTCGGATGAAATGTAGTGAATGTAACTGTAGTGGTGTCAGAAATACCTGCGGTGTGAAGAATAAACTGACACCGGTCTAGAAAATCCTGAGCATCCTTTGACTCCCCTTCGCTGAATTCTAGAGGCTTTAAGCCTCCCAAATCGCTCCAACCTCTTCTGCTCCTCATCACTCATCAGTGGACCAACCTCAGCCCGGGTAGCAATAACCGGCTGAACTAGTAACACCCTCGGTGTTTGATGACCCTGAGCTAGCTACTTTATAGTACATGAGGCAGGACTCTGGCACCTCCCCCAGTCTGTGAGGTAGCTGGTGCAACTGGAATCGAAACCGCCTGAGCCAGGCTCATGCATATAGTCAAAATCTGAGCCAAGGCCTCCTGAAGGCTAGGAATAACAATAGGCACTGCTAGTGCCTAATTTGGTCCAACTGGCCGAAAAATATATAGAACTTCTCCTCAGTTTGAGCGATTGGTGGCTCCACAGATACTGCTCTAGTTGTAGTACGAGCCCGACCTCGACCTCTATCACGGCCCCGGCCTCTTGTGACCCTAACTGGTGGTCGTCCTCCTGATCCGGCTGCACGTGTCCTCACCATCTGTGAGAGAATAGAATTGTCAAGGTTTAAAATTTGGAAATAACAAATCCGCACGACAAGAATGCAAGATAGTGAAGTTTTCCTAACAGTTCGGTAGCCTCCCAAAGATAAGTACGGACGTCTTCGTACCGATCCGCAAGACTATACTAAACCTGCCCATGACACGTAATACCTATAAAACTACGGCTCTGATACCAACTTGTCATGACCCAAAATCTCAACCCGTCGTGATGGCGTCTAACGCACTTGCTAGGTAAGCCGGATATAACCATAATGAACCAAAAATTCAAAAGTGACAGAATAAACATAAGTCTAAAACTTTAACATAACATAATAATATGAATACATGACAAATTCCCCAGAACTGGTAAATACAGAGTCATGAGATCTAAGACGAAAAGAAAATACAAGTATGAAAGCCAAAATAGCAACACTGTATGAAATAAGGTGTCATGCACCAACCTTGGGGAGCGTGACTGGTGCTCAACCGAGATAACCCGGCCGAGCAAGCCGTACAATGCCTTCTATCCGATCTCACTCACGAATAAAGAAAAGATCCATTTCACTAATTAGGTATCGGGGAGAATCATGTAACAACATCGATTCCTTATCAATACTTACATCATTAATACAGTTTAAAATACAACACTTTCATACTTTGATGTGGAACGTGTAATACAATTACAACATTACAAGTTTGACTTTCCCAACACCAACATACCACCACACTATGTTTACGGAGCCTCTAATGGATACAAAAGAGTACGATGATAGTGCCGGCAACAAGGTCCCAGCTATACCTCAAAACATAATACATAAGGACAAAAGATATACGACCCCAAAATGAAGTGGGGCTCACCAAGTCAGCTGGGAAGAGGGTGTACCGCTATCAACGATCAAAGCCGCCTGCTGTGGAACCACCTGCATCTATTAAAGATGCAGTGTGACGTTAGTATAAGTGGAATAGTACTAGTATGAATAACCAAACACCCTCTCAAAAGTCACCAAGTTAGGAAAATTTCAAACAATACCAAAACATCAAGTTAGGAGCAATATAAGTTTTCAAGTAATTTCCATATTATAGGTTGGGAGATCATAGCATCGATAAAGATATGCCACCGTGTATTTTGCACAGAGTCCGATCAAGGCCCGATCGGCTAGGCCGTCTCACCCAAGACATCAATCACAATCACAATTATTATCCCGATCTCAATCATTATCGCAATCATAATTTCAAACATAATCACCACCATGTGTGTGGCATGGTGTCCGATCACGACCCGACCGGCTAGGCCGTCTCACCACAATGCCATATGGATCGACATCACCTTTTTTTAGCAATCATCTCATCCCAATAAAGGGGAATATTCGCAATTTACTCCTACACCGGCACGTGTAGTTTCAGGGTTAGGTTATTTTAACCTACCCTTCCTCGGTGACTAACGATACTCCCAAAGTGTTTGTTTATTTAAAGGATTTACAACTCATTTCAATGTATTTTACACGCACTTTAGTTTCATTGGCACTATGGCTCCGAATGTAATGTTGTTCTTGGCATGTTGGTCGTATTTTCATATTTCATGCTCACCTCTTTCACTTTCAAACATCATCACGGATCATCAACAATAAAGCATTTATATTAACGACTTTAAGTCCTCATGTGAGCAAGTAAGAGTCTTAAGCACATAGATATTTCTTATACAATTTGGCATAATAGCATTCATTTAAAACACGACTTAAAGTTATAACATTTAGATATGCAATCCATACTTTGAACACATTCTCAGATAGTAACACAACATATCAAGAATATTTGAAACACATATTGAGCATATATCTTTTATCACAAAGCTTGTTCGGAATAATCAATTTATGATGAACAACTCGAGAATTACAAGGACATTGTGGGGTTCAATTCTAAGAGAAGAGTCTAGCCAACATATCTCGCCTTGAGCTTCCTTAAATTACTACAATGTTCGGAAATCTTAGCCACTTTGATCTATTTTGAACTATAACAAAGTTGAACACAAATTAGGAAGGAGTCCATGGTTCCAGCTCATTCGAGCATTTTATCAAACACTAGGTGGGAATTAAGGTTTCAATATCCTCCTATGATGAATTCCTTTATCCCACTAACCAAAATCTACCCAATTGAACTCAACCATCTTCCCACAACCCTAGATAGTACATGCATGCATAATGAACAACTCCCACACCCAAGAATTACTTGCCTTATTACCTATTTTTAGTTAAATCTCGAAATTGAGGGTTAGGGTGTAGATTCGTACCTTTTCGTTGAAGACCTTGTGATTTACCCTTGTGAATTCTTCAAGGCTCGAGTAAGGATGGATGAACAAATGACTTAAAAGTGCCTTTTCTCACTCTAGACCACTTTTCTCTCTCTAAAACATAAGTTTGAACCTTCTACAATGATCCCTAGGACTGTTTTATAAGAATGGGGATGGGTTTATAAAACTAAAAAAATGAAGTTCCGATGTAGATCTACGGTCGCATATGCAACCGTATAATGCTTCTTGGATCCGCAAAATGGGCCGCATAATGGCCCTCCGAAACTATGCATTTCTGCTTCACTCTGCGATCGGTCTCCGAAAATCTTTATATGGTACATGCGATGGATTGTGCGGCCCACGAAATAATTATGCAGCAGCATAATGGACCGCATATTGGTCCTAAAATTTAGCTCAGGTTTCTGCTCCACTCCGCGGCAGATCTGCAGTCCGCAGATCAGTTCTGCGATCGCAGAATGGACCACAGAAACGCCTTGCACTTCCAAAAATTTTCTTCAATTCCCCAACGCACTGTTCAACCCAAAAAGTCCACGCCACGCTGAGCTTGGCACCAGGAACCCCGGGTTTTTTTGGTAAACCTTTACGGGGCCTTACATAAGGAAAACAATATGATATGGAAAGAGACTCCAAGTTTGCGGTCGAGAAAGAAACTATACCTCTTCTCCCGAATATCAATCAGCTCATCAATCATCTCTGCTACTGATGACTGGGTCTGACACCTGGATATGCACAATTAAGTGCAGAGTGTAGCATGAGTATAACTGACCCAATGTATTTGGCAAGTACCATATCTAACCTTGGCGAGGTAAAAGCAACAAGAATTGTAAATGATACTTGCTATAACCCGTACAGTTCATAAATTTAACAAGTACAAACATAGGTATGATCAAATCAGGAAATAACGGATAAAACTACCTTTGTGCCCATAATTACTCAAGTACTCTGCTCAGTCAATGATCCAGCATATAAAGATGATATGCAAGTAAAAATAAAATGCAGTAAGCCAATAGCACTGACCAGATTTTCCTTAGAATTTCCAATACAGTACAAAACCACTGATCAATTTTCCTCAATCCGCACGTACACCATCAAGAGAGAAAAATGAGAGGGTGACCTTAGGAGGATGGATCCATATCCACACACTGCACGGAAAACTCACGTGCTGCACGGACAACTCATGTGCTAATAATATCAATATTCGGATCCGCACGGACAACTCACGTGCTAATAATATAAATATTTGGATCTATACGAATAACTCACATGCTACATAGACAACTCACGTGCCAATAATACAAATAGCGTGGACAACTCACGTGCCAATAATCACAATCTGCCCGACGTGATCAAATGCTACCAGTCCAGATCATAGCACACAGAAAGCAAATATACAAGAATACATGTACATGATCAATGATTATCAAGTTTCATACTCCTGGACTGGTATAAATAGCATGCTATAGTGTAGGTGTTCTATCACAACTAGATTAGACAATTTCATCACGAAATAATATTTTATCAGTTTGATAAGGAGAATAACCTCAATTTAATCTCAAATGTGGTACATATAGCCTACAACATGGGTACACATGGGAGAAACAACACAACATTAAGGTTAGCAATCAGATCAAGGCTTATCATATCCTAAGCACTACCACGAGCAAGAAATAGTACCCCGGTGCAAGCATATGGGCTCATCCCAACACATATGCGTTACTCATAGCACATAACTATCATAAATATTTCAGGCAACTAGTACCTAAACCAAGTTTAGGTAAGATACTTACCTCAAGCTAGCCAAATGAGTACTCTAACAAACCCTTTCCTCGCAAATCAACCTCGCAGAAGCGCATCCGCTTCTGCGGAAACTTTTGTGCATCTATGACCTATCCCCCAGCCAGGCCAACCTCGTACCTGTGCAAAAGAGGCCGCACATGTGGCTCCGTATCTGCAGCCAATCCCATTGCAGGTGCAAAAATAGCTGAAGACAGATTTTTCAGCAAACTCCTTAACGTCCAAAATGAATCCGAACTCAATCTGAATCACACCCGAGGCCTCCCGGGACCTCATCCAAACATACCAACCAATCCCAAAACATACCACGAACTTACTCTATGTATCAAATTTCTTAAAACAACATCAAAACAACGAATCGCACCCTAATTCAAGCCTAATAAAACTAATGAACTTTCAACTTCTAAAACACATGACAAATCATATTAAACCAACTTGTAATGATCTCAAATTTTATACACAAGTCTCAAATGATACAACAGACATATTCCAACTCTCAAAACCAAAATCCAAACCCAATATCAACAAAGTCAACTCTTGGTCAAACCTATCAACCTTCAACTTTCCAACTTTCGCCAAAAAGTATCAAATTAACCTACAGACCTCCTAATCCAAATCCGGATATACTCCTAAGTCCAAAATCACCATAAAAAGCTATTGGAATCATCAAAAGACCATTGTGGATTCAGCTACACAGTTAAACTCCGGTCATCTCTTTCTACTTAAGCTTCCAACCTTAGGACTAAGTGTCCCAATTCACTCCAAAAATTTTCTGAAACTAATCCAACAATCCTGGTAAGTCACATAACCAAAAATGAACATATAAGAGGCAATATATAAGGGAACAGGTCTACAATACATAAAACGATCGACCGAATCATTAAATATATGTTTATTTTTACCCGAAAAATAAAGAAAATATTATAAAAAACATACAAAAGATATTAACTTAATAATTGAATGGGTAAAGTGACACCGTCTTAACATGAAAATGCAAAAAACCTCTTTTATATGAAGCTACAAAAACACATATTTTTCACTCTTTCAACCATTAGGGTGAGATGTACGTGCAAAGCACGTAAATAGATACTAATTATTATAAAATCATGAATGTTGCATACTGAATATTCAAAAGTTAAATTATTTGCTCAAAAAATAAATCATTGTTGGATAAACATTTATTTGCTTAATAGCATAGTTTGAATTTAACTACTATAAGAAACATAGTCCATCCATAAGGGGTGCTCTTAGAGCCCACTAGGGCAAAGCCCAGTAATTTTAGTAATTTGTGTACCCTATCTATCCCTATATAAGTACACATACAATGTACTTCTAAAGATAAAGCAAATAATATTTTGTATGTTATTTTCCCTGTCTCAATCCAACATAGGGTTTCGGCCGTGGTATAGGAGGTTGCTCCATTATAATGTAACAACCACCATCGACCGATGATGTGCCGAAGAATGCAGCACTTTCAATACTAATTTCATAGACTTTAGCTACTTTTAAAGCAGTTTTAGTCGTTTCTCATGTAGTTTTGTTGTTTTGCAGGAAATCGGACTTGAAGAGGCAAGAACATGAAAAAGATGTCAAAAACCTGAAGAAGTCAGTTTTGCGGCTGATCTGCGACCGAAGACTAGCTATGTGAACCGCACTTCAATCATAGATGGTATCGTGCCTGCCTGGCTTTAAGAGTTTCAAATGCGGTTTAATACGCGATTGCATAACTGATGTGCGGACCGCAAAATTATGACACAAATACAAGAGGAATTCTAGTGATCCAAAGAGATGAATCTGTGATCTACTTTGCGGACCGCGAAATAATTATGTGGATCGCATAACTGATATGCGATGAAAATCTGAAATCGCTGAGGATCAATCTACGGTATTGCGACAAATGTGAAGACCGCAGATCGTATTCGCGGTCCATTCCGCGACCGTAGAAGTCTCCTGGAGCCTATTTTTGTCACAAATTTGTCCGCATGTTTTGGGACATTATAAATAGAAGAGCTAGGATTTTTGTTGGAAATCTTGTATGAAAAAGGTCCTACATTGAGTGCATTGAATACTACCTTATTTTAGGGCTTTTTGGATAGATTCCAATACTTTGTCTTCATTTTAAGTTTTTATGACTTTATTTAAGGCTTTGTTCTTATATAATGGGTTGTTGATTTCTATTCATTTTTATGCTTCATTGATGGTTGGTGGTTGCAAACAGTACCTAGTGCCAATTTACTTTATCTTTCAATTGGAAAAATGGGTTAGGGTTTGGCAGAAATAATTAGCAAGAACTCGAGGCTTTAAACCTCGTTTAGTAAAATCTCTTAGGAATAAGTGGGTTCTACTTGGCATAAATTGGTTGCTCTTAATTGTAACTCTTTTATATTTGAAAAAATCATAAAGAGGAAATGCTACCTAACTATTGGGAAATATTGGGTAGACATTTAGGAACTATTTGCATATAAAAAGACTTCCCATAAGAAATATATCATATTAACACTTATGGCATTACATTCCATCGAAGGGGACACAACCTAGTTTTCTTATTCAATTAATCAATTCTCTTAACAAAATAGCTTCTCTTTACAATTCAGAATTATCAATCTATTTCCAAACTAAAGGCGTAGAATCACGGCCTTAGTGACGCGACACATTACTCAAGTAACCTTTTCACGCCTATTCCCTGTGGGATTTGACCCGGACCTAGTTGGGCTATTATATTTGACACCGGCTTCCTTACACCATTTATATAGATGTAATTTGAGTGTATCAAATTTTGGCTCCGTTGCCGGGGAATACAGTTTTAAATTACTAACTAGTGTGTGCTTTACTTTGCATCTTTTTTCATTCCATCACACTTTTCTTATTTTGTTTTGTGTCACTAGGCAAGTATGGGCGAGCTGGAGAATGTGTTTGTGGATATGGAGACCTAACCCGCAAGGGCAAGTTCCCAACAATGGCAAAATGACAAAGGTAGTTCAAATCAAAAAAATTGGAGTAACAACAACAAAAATTTTGCAAATCGAATTTCAAACCCCTATGTTCTACCAAAGGGACAACACTCTAACTCTGAACATTGGAGGGAGAGTTCTTCAAGAGACCAAAAAAATTCTGAATTGGAGATCATGCTTGAAAGAGTATTGAAAAATCAAAAGAGGACCGACATATCAATGAAAAACATGACTGAGATTGTGAGTTCTCACACCACATCTATTCAAAAGTTGGAGACGTAAATGAGGGATCTCTTAAGAGAACAAACCCCCCCCAAAAAAACCACGCTCCCAAGTGATAAAATTGCAAACCCAAAGGGTAGTGGAGGTGGCCAAACCTCTCATTGCATGGTTATTATAACTCTAAGTGCGAAACTACTTCAAAGTAAGAGTGAATGGGTGGTCGAAGTGAAAGATACTGAACAAGAGAATGAGGCACAAGTTGAAATGCCTAATGTTGTTGAAGTTTAGAGAATTCCGAAGCAGGTGAAGGATCAATATGTGAGCCATGAAAAGGTTGAGGAAAAAGTAATAGAGGCACCAAAACCTCTAGCACTGATTCCTAGACACCCCCCCCCCTCCATTTCCTCCAAGACTATCCAAAAGAGTTGATGATAGAAATCCAAGAAGTGAACATTCCGTTTGTGAAAGCTTTTCAAGAGATGCCCGGTTTTGCTAAATACTTGAAGGATTTGATCACGAAAAAGAAGACTATCAAGAATGAAATGGTGAGTGTCACCCACCGTATTAGCTCCATCATTTCAACAACAGTCGTCCAAAAGAAGGAGGATTCACATACTTTTACCATTCCATGCACTATTGGATTGCGTGACTTTGCACAAGCTCTTTGTGATAATGGGGCTAGCATAAAATTAATGCCTCTTGATATCTACAAGCAAGCAGGATTGGGAATGCCTAGGTCTATGAGTATGAGGTTGTAAATGGCCGACCATTCAGTTAAGCGATTGGTGGGAATAGTAGATGATGTGCTTGTGAAAGTGGGGTAGTTTATCCTCCCTACCGACTTCGTTATACTTGATTGTGAAGTTGATAAAGAGATTCCTATCATCTTAGGGAGACCATCCCTTGCTACTGGAAGAGCAGTCATGGACTCAAAACTAAATGAGATTAAATTCTAGGTTAATGATGAAGAAGTTTCCTTTCAAGCAAGTAAGGGCATGAAATTGCCAAATGCATGCGAGCGTATCTCAGTACTTGATGTTGTTCATATTGTAGAAGATGTGGTTGAGGTAACAATGGAAGAGGAATGCCTTGATGAGGCATTGGCGCCGATCTTGATGAATTTTTATAGTGATGACTTAGAAGGATATGTGGAGACGGTGAAAGCATTGCAAGGGCTTGGTTCATACAATTATGAAGTGAAGAAAAATTCACCTTGATTTGGAGGATAGAGCCACTCCTCCCGCTAAGCCTTCAATCATTAAGCTGCCACAACTTGAACTCAAGTCACTAACACCACACTTAAGGTATACATTTCTTGTCTCTAACAAAACTCTACCCGTAATTGTTTCTTTTTTGTTAAATTATGTGTTGCTTGAGCAATTATTGGAGACCTTGAGAGAGCATAGATGTGCCATTAGTTGGAAAATGGCGGATATCCGGAGGATTCTTGCCAGTATTAGTGAGCACAAAATCCAACTTGAGGAAGATAGCAAACCTAGTGTGAAGCATCAAAGGAGGTTGAATCCCTCCATGCAAGAAGTGGTAAAGAAAGAAATTATTAAATAGTTGGATACCGTGGTTATTTACCCCATTGCCGATAGTCCTTGGTGAGTCCGGTGCAATGTGTGCCAAAGAAGGGACGAATGGCCGTGATTCAAAATGACAAAAATGAACTCATTCCAACAAGGACAGTGACTGGGTGAAGAGTTTGCACGGACTACCAGAAGCTCAATAGTGCCACTTGCAACGACCATTCCCTATGCCTTTTATTGATCAAATGCTTGATCGACTAGCCGGATGGTCATTTTATTGCTTTTTGGATGGTTACTCCGGCTACAACCAAATCAACATATCCATGGAGGACCAAGAAAATACGACATTCACATGTCCTTATGGGACCTTTGCTTTTAGCCGGATTCCATTTGGGCTATGCAATACCCCGGCTACCTTTCAATGGTGTATAATGTCAATTTTCTTGGACATGGTGGAGGATTCTTAAGAGGTATCCATGGATGACTTCTTCGTAGTTGGTGATTCATTCAAAAATTTCCATGATAATCTTAGGCAAGTACTCCAAAGATGTGAATTTCTATTGAAGCCTTCCTATGCGAAATTCTCAAATATTGTGAGTCCCATGTGTAAGCTTCTCTAAAATGAGTCTAAATTTGTGTCCGATGAGAAGTGACTAAAAGCTTTTGATGACTTGAAAGCAAATATCACCACAACATCTATTATTGTCATACCCAATTGGCCTCTTCCATTTGAGCTTATCTATGACACCAATGGTGTGGCTATTGGGTCGGTGCTTGGTCAAAAGCACAACAAGAGTTCACACCCTATCTACTATGGAGGTAAGACACTTAATGGCGCGTAAATGAATGACACAGTGACTGAGCAAGAATTTCTTGCCATTGTCTATGCTTTTTCAAAAATTATGGGCATATTTGTTGGGATCCAAGGTAATAGTCTTTACTGATCATGTTGCTCTCCTCTACCTTATGGCGAATAAGGATGCCAAAACGAGATTGATTAGGTGAGTTCTTTTGTTACAAGAATTTGACTTTGAAGTCAAAGATCGAAAAGGAATAGAAAATCAAGTCGCAGATCATTTGAATAGGCTTGAAGATGAGGGGAGACAAAACAGAGATCTTGAAATCAACGATGCCTTCCCAAATGAACAACGTTTGGCAATATCTAGAAATTTAACTCCTTGGTATGCCGATATAGATAACTTCTTAGTTAGTGCCCTTATCCCCGGCGAATTGGAAGCTTATCAAAAGAAAATTTTCATTGGGGATTGTAGGCAATACTATTGGGAGGAACCCATTTTATTCTAGATAAGCACCTACAACATCATTCGTCATTGTATTTCGGAAGATGAGGTGGCACCAATTCTTAAATCATGTCATGACTCTCCAGTAGGGTGTCACCACGGTGGAAACTGTGCGATGGCAAAAGTGCTTGAATGTGGCTACTATTAGACATCGACATACCAAGATGCAAATCTAATGGTCAAGGTATTATCAATATCAAATACAAGGGTCAATTTATAGATGGCATGAAATGCCTATAAATTTTGTGATGGACGAAGAGATCTTTGATGTGTGGGGGATCAATTTCATAGGTCCCTTTGTGAGCTAATACTACATGACGTATATCTTGGTAGCAGTGGACCATGTCTCAAAGTGGGTTAAAGTAGTTGCCTTGCCAAATAATGAGGCAAGGAGTGTAACCGCTTTCTTGAAGAAGAACATATTTACTCAATTTGGAACCTCAAGGGCTATCCTTAATGATGGTGGATCTCACTTTTGCAACAAAGACTTTGTAGGGTTGCTTGAGAAATATGGAGTTAAGAACAAGGTGGCCACACCTTATAACCCTCAATCAGGTGGTCAAGTTGAAGTCTCTAACCGAGAAATCAAGAGCATTCTAGCAAAAACTATTATTTCAAACATGACCGATTGGTCAAGAAAGCTAGATGACGCTCTGTGGACTTATCAAACCGCATTCAAAATACCTATTGGAACCTCGCCTTACCGGTTGGTTTTTGACAAGGCATGTCACTTGCCAGTGGAGCTAGAACACAAAGCTATGTGGGCTTTAAAAAAGTTAAATCTTAACTGGGCCAAAGCTATTAATCTAAGGATATACAACTCAATATGATGGATGAGTTCCATTTCCAAGCCTATGAGATTGCCATGAATATCTTAGGCAAGTACTTAAAATATGCGAAGATACCAACCTTGTGCTCAATTAGGAATAGTGTCACTTCATGGTGGACGAAGGTATTATTCTTGGACATAAAATCTCCAAGCAAGGCATTGATGTTGATCGATTAAAAATTGTAGCTATATCCAAGCTTCCTCCTCCCACTTCGGTCAAAGGAGTTCAAAGCTTTTG